CAACTCAAGAATCATCACATTTCGACCCAACAAAGTTTCTGAGAGAATATAAATCATGGTAACCCAGCTGAACCACAAAAGCTAGATCTTTATTTACTGCGTATAAGGAGTCATTTACTTTAAGAGATTGCTTCAACACTACGATTGGTGAGACTCAATCTCTAATCATTCTTTTGACTGCCCCGGTCATTGTTGATGTAATTTCAGGGGTAGGTAGGTGTGTGATGTGTGTATATATATATATATATATATATATATATATATATATATATATATTTGTAGCGACGTGCCTGCGGGTTTTCAGTCTTCACATGCAAAGAGTCAAATAGAAGACAAGTGTCCCAATCATTGTCAAATGTCAAAATGTTTGAAGACAATAGTCTGTGTACCATTGTCCTCTATCACTGTGGACCAAACCCCACTATTAAATTCTTCTTTTTAAAAAGTTTTTGTTTTTGTTTTTTTTTAAAGAGTTATAAATTTATTTCTATATTTAGTTATCAAATTACATTTTTTTTATTACAAAGAAATTTGTCATTATAACCAGAAAGTTCATATAAATCATACAAGAAAAGTAAACTATACTAAAAAGACTATGTGCGACATGCTCAATCGAGAGGGTGTTGACAAAAATGAATGTATTATCTGATATGAGAATCATATTTTATATACCCAGCCACCATTTTCAAGGCTCAAATTAAGTATTATTGTATGCATGACATTCAAATATAAAAGAAAAAATTATTTAAAGAGTTAGTGTATGCATGACATTCGTCATGAAAACAGGCTGCCAATTATGTGGACCACCGAGTAATAAGAAAAAAAAAAGTGAAAAGAAAAAGAAAAAAAAAAAAAAAAAAAAAAAACAAGAAATTGGTGTTGTTAAGGTGACAATTCAATGAACAAATTGGATGCAGAGTGACAGATGATTTGAAATAGATCGAGAGAAAAAAAAAACAATTTGTGTTGCTTACTTGCCTACTACTAATTAAACATTTTACCAATTACTGTAGAATTTAAAGAAAATTACATTTTTGTCCTTCAGTTATACTCGTGGTACAAACTTAGTTCCTGAGTTATATATGTGATCTTTAATCACTAAGTTATGGATGAAGTGGCGATTTTAGTCCCTTGGGGACTATTTCCACCACCAATTTGTCACTTAATAAAGTGGCTGATTTGGACTTTCAAAGACTAAAATCGTCACTTCATACATAACTTAGGGGTTAAAGATGGTCATGCATATAACTTAGAGATTATATTTGTACCATGGGTATAACTAGAAGATAAAAATGTAATTTTTCCTAGCATTTATTTATGATTTTTATTAAATTGAGATTAATATGGTGCCGTTAAATGATGAAATTAACAATATAAAGAATACTAACAAACTACTGAGATAACTGGGAAAAAAAAAAAAACCTACTGAGATTTAAGTTTTTTGAAAGTAAAGTAACACACAATCAAATAAGAATGTAAATGAAAATGGGGTAAAAGTACAAAAAATAAAATAAAAAATGTAAAAAATAAAATAAAATTGACACACTAATTTATTGTCGGTCAAGGGCATGTATTAATGTATTATGTGGCATAAAAGAGGTTTTGTGGGGTTGAACTCTTTATTAGTGCCTTACCAATTTAGTCCTATTTAATTTATTACAATTGGTTTGGAGTACAATTAGGTGATAATGACCTATTAAGACTCTTTTTATGGCTTTGTATGTATTGTACTAAGTCATTAATATTTATCAGTAAAGGTGTAAAGATTTTATAATTTAATATTATTAACATTTAATGTAACCATAAATAAAACGACTCATATTCAATTTCAACTCCTACTATGACAGAATTTTGTCAATTTTATTTTTATCCAATTTAACCAATAAATAAAACGACTCATATTCAATTTCAACTCCTACTATGACAGAATTTTGTCAATTTTATTTTTATCCAATTTAACCAACAAATGTTATTTGTAATCCCAAGAGTTTGTACCACTACCACACAACTAACTTATATTAATTGGTCAAAAGAAAAACAAAAATAAATAAGTTACTTGTTAGAACAATAATCAACTTATTAATGCAACAAAAAGTAACAAGTGAAATGAAAGTATATGTAGTATTATTGTAACTGTTGATCTTAAAAACTCAAAATTATTGGTCTATTAGAGCATTTGGGAATATATAAATCATGGTGTAATCCTGGAAAGACAGAGCTTAGTCAACACAGTTGACAACGGCTTCAACGCTTTGAAACTTCAATGAAGAAGGCAGTAAGAACTTCTTGTTAAAGATTCGGTTAGTGAGAAAGTGTGGTCCAAGAAAGGGGTCTATGCCTTCTCTACCAACAATACCGTACCAAGCCTTTAGGTGGGATAAAAGTAAGGCAGCGGCGATAAACTTGTCCAAAAATGATAATAATCAGACTACTTAAAAATAGAAATAACGTAGGAACAAAACTTTTTCATGTTGTATCAATATATTGTTGGACTTGTTCCGTTAGCTTAAGCATGTTCCAATAAAGCCGATTAAAGATTTCTCTTTGTAAGAGTATTCTTCGCGTCTTTGTACCCCCCCCCCCTCCCCCCCCCCCCCCCTTCCTAAATAAACTACAAGCAAGAAATTGTAGACAAGGCCAAATATCAGTGCGAACAAGCGATCTGTCCACTTTGAACATAATCTCCACACTATTGTCGTCGTCAAAGTTCAAATCTTGATTTCTTCTGTCAAATATTGTCCATATACCATTGAGCTAAACGGGGCATAATTGATGTATTCACTTCCTGCATGGGATGATTATTTAAATATGTGTTGAAAAACATTGTTTTGAGTTGTCAAAGTTGGCAATGACAAAGTTAAAGTAAGCTCAGATCACATGGAGAAGCCATTAAAAGAAATGAGAATTGAAAACATATTAAATACAAATTAAATGATGAAATGATTGCATGTTTCCTGGTTTGTCACCTTAATTAATTTAAGGTTATATTACATATATTATAATAAATAAATTATTAGACAAATGATTTGGTGGCATAATTTGAGTTGTGCCAGTGTGGTCACAGCCACAACATTCTCATGGGTTTCAACTTTTGATACTGTGTATCATTTGGCTATATATATATGCCCTCACAATAAAAATAACAAAATAAATTGGTGGTCCTTTCTCACTTTTACTTTTTTAAAATAAATAAATAAATATCTTTTTTTCTCTTTTTAATAATCAGATAACATGCTAGCCGGTTTGACTGGAAACCATGGATTGAGATTCAATCATAGGCATTATACTGTTGTGGGTCTTATACACCAATTCAAAATTCTTGACACCTCTTATATTGAGTTGAATATGTGTAAGGAAAAATGATATATTTTGTCTTTGAATTATAAGGAAATAGTATTTATTTATTCATCAACTATACAACCGTCACTTTTTATTATCAGTTGTTTGTGAAATAAAATTGTGTTCCTCAATTGTCGGCAAAGTTTGTATGTAATTGATGGACAGAAAGTGTTATGTCTTTATATATAATTGATAAGGACTTGGTGTAGGATTATGTATTTCACACCTTAATTTTACAAATTCAAAAATGGTTAATAGTTAAATCAATGAAAAATGTTTTATGTTTTCTATTTTTAGTTTCATTTTATCATATTTTAATTTTCATCAAAAATTAGAAAACAATATGAAACATATGTTTTTTTTTTTTAATACTTAGGGTTCTTTACCAAACAATATATGTTCTATACTTTCTCAAACATTTTCAGCCCAAAAAATCTAAGCCCCACCCCGGAATGTCATCACACGATAATATGAAACATATTTAGTTACACTTGTTTTTTATGGGGGAAAAAAAAAAAGTGGTGAAATCAGTATTTTAAAAAAATCTAATTTTGTTTTGTATTTTCTAATTTTCTAAAGAATGAAATTATTTGAAGTCAATTCTAGGGTAGACAACTTGGGTCTTAGTCAATATATGCGTGCAATTTGGTCAATTTTGGTGCTTTACAACTTAGGTCTTGCAAAAATCTGCCACAAACTTTGCTCAAAGTTGAGCAAATCTTCATGTTGGTTACCTAAAAGTAACAGATATGTCAAGTTTTGATGACTTGTGAATAATATTCGTACTTTCTTTGGTCACAAGATTTTTAAAGTGTCAATAATATGATAGACCACAAATTTTTGCAAAACTTAGAAGTCATGAAATTAACATGAGACCCAACAACTTGCACTTTGCACTATAAACAGTTTACCAGCACTTTATTATTATTATTACTATTATAACCAAAGCTTCACAGTTTCATCGAACTATATCATAGATTCATAGAACCCATATTCATCGGGCTATATCCTAGATCCCATGAATTCATCGGGCTATATCCTAGATCCCATGGATTCATCGGGCTTAAGAAATATACAGAATGATCTGAAATTGTTTCCCTTTGAGACATCCGAGGGAGATGAGAGATTATCGCAATTACAAAAATATCTTTGGATTTAACAGCACAACACATGGGGCGAAATAACAAATGAAGAAATACATTGAGCAAAAACACACGAGTCTAAACTACATTGGTCACCAACCAAAAAAACTAGAAGACCATATTAACTCATTAAATTTATGTGCCCTTTTAGTTTCATCTTATAGGTTATTTCATTACTTCTCTACCCAAATTATTCCATCCTTGAATATAAATTATCGTTTGGGAATCATTTCCATTTCCTCAATATTCTAAAATAATTGGTTCAAATCAAAATGCCCCTTTGATTAAAATCTCAAAGTATATACACAATTCTAATGAATTTATACATTAACAAGACCATGAAACTGCAACAATAGAATCTTCAGAAACCATTGATTTTATCCCACATGAGTTTCATGTAAAATAGAGTAAATCATCTTACAACATCTCTTTACTACAGTTAAAAGGGCATTTGAAAGGATGATTCTTCTTTTGTTTTAAGCAAGAAAATGCAATTAGGCAAATGCTTAAAAGAAGAAATGGAAGAAGAGGGAAAATGATGCATACATTCACAGATTCACCAGTGTAAATTACAAGATATGTTGGCAATTATTCAGCCTTCTGGGAGAACATATGGTGCCCTAAGTTATATATATTAATAAGGAATTTGAGAAGAGGGCAGAAGTCCAAGAAGCCGAAATAATACAATCTCAGAAAAAAAACATATGGCTCATTTCAAATTGTGTACATGAAAACTACAAACTGTTGCTATTGAATCTTTCTCACTTCAAAAATTTGAATTTGTTACAGTAGTACTATATCCATTCAGTAGACTGCACATCTGCAAATATATTACAAAATACCGTTGCAGAAAATTAGTCTCCATTTTGGGATATTTCACAATATTGCTAAGGTACCTCTACTCTTTCAAAATCATTCTGATTTCAAAATGACACTAATAATCTAGGACTAGTGTCATTCACAGCTTGCCATTTTTTTTCTTTTTTATATTTATGGAAATAAGATGCGTGATACATATTACTTATCCAATGAGAAGCAGCTAATGATTTCATTCCAGTCAAAATTTCATGGATTTATGCTGCAATTGGCCAAAACAAATAGAATAATAGTAATTCCGGATTGCATAGTTCACATTATGAGCATCACGTCCCTAACTTCTCTTCATCTCGTCTAATTATTCAACCTATTAGTCTATTACCACTTCAATTCTACAAGGTATTCCTAAACACAAAATAAAAATAAAGCAAACATAAGAACAAAAAAAACACATTTTACCTCATCATTAGTGTAGCATTGATGCATGGGCTTCAGGAAATCCTTGGTAGCTCATTTGCTCCTAAAACACCACTGAAGTCTGCATCCAATTTATCAAATAACTATCTACAAGGAACCTATTAACTGGCTTCTGCACCAAAATTTTGCTCCACAAATTCATCAAGCTTCCCCCAATTAGGTGGATTTGATTTACTCAATTCATCAGATGGCAATGATCTGATACACCCGAGAATATGTTGAACATCACGATGCATTCTGCACATAGCATTCAAAATTGTATTGAATAGCAAGCAAATAAATGGATGAGCAAATGAGTAAATCTTAAAAGTCAGGGAAATTAGGATTCTGAGGCAACATTACCGGTTCTTCACTTGAGGAGTACTGATATCAACGCGTGACAGTGCTTCTGAAATTTGGGTGTGAAAGATTTGCACCACTTGCCTGCAAGTGATGCATACTTCTAAGCATTTTATAGTATCAGCAAGAAAAGGGAATCTAAAACTAGTATCTAAGTTTGCTGCCACAGCCCTGTTTTGCAACTACACTGACATCATGTGCATTCACATTATAAGGCAGTTCAGAATGTACCCAACTTTCCAATTCCATAATCCTATTTGACACACTCATAATACAGATTTAGCAGAGACATTAATATTGGCAATAATAAGATTCAGCATAGTGTTGGTCATAATTGAGATACTTGACATCCCAAGGAGGTGGAGGTGGAGGTGGATGTAGAGCAATCAAGGATTACACACACAACTTCCAAGTCAAATTTGGAACTAAATTGAACCACTGGACTCCATTTTTGGATGTTTGCCTATGTCCCAGTTCAATATCAATTTTAGCCTAACAAGAAATAAGCAAGATTTAGTAAACCTAAAACCAGAACTGAAACAGATCTTGTTCACTTGGACGTCTACTTCCCCTCTTAAAAAAAGATTTCATTTGTGCCATTGCAATCACTAGCATGTCAGATTGTCAGGAAGTGTGCCAGCTTGCTTACCTGAAAATAGTTTGAACATCTACTTCATGCAGAGTTCGAGATAACACACGTTGAAGAAGACCGACTTCCTTCAAAATTAAGCAAGCAAAATTAGTTGGACAAATTTAGTTAGTAAAAGGCAAAATCTAAGGAAAGAAATAGAGACCAATTACAATTTTGAATAACACAATACATGCTAATTTCAACATAATAGCTATTTTTACAAGATGAAATGTAAATAAAGTAAATTGGTGCAAGATAAATGAAAAATGCACATTATAATAGATATGGAGTACATAAAAGATTATGAGTGAAGCTTTTTGCTTGCTAGCGGAAAGTCATTAGGTTCCTTTTAAGAAAACTGATTGAAACTTCAGTGGTTACTTTTTTGGGGTTCTAATGAATTGTGATTTTGCGGTAGCAGTTATCAGGATAGGATATCTAGGTAGAAATATTTGTCAGATTTATAGCACATATATTTTACAGAGCATGGGCTGCACCTCCTTTATGCTACTTTTACTAAAATATTTCATAAATATTAGAGTGAAGCTTTCACACTATCAAGGGTTCAAAAGCCAGTCATCAATAGTGTCTAAGATTAGGACAAGAGAAAAGAAAAATGAGACGATCCTCTCATTTCCCATTTTAGGACTCAATGCATCTAAACCCCCCTCACGAGAAAAGTAATAGAGCTAACATAGAATGACTTCAAATAAAAGTTTCTATAGTACAACCTTTGTAATAGAACGAACAAACTGACTCGGCTGTGAATCAGTATCTTCTTGCCTACTCCAGTTCTCAACCATTTGTGGCAAACTGCGTAGGTGGATTAGCAATCGTTCCCTCATAATCTGTACAAGCTTTGAATGTATCTCATCTCTGTGGACCTTGAAGTCCTAGAAATTTCAAAAAAAGAAAAAAAAAAAAAAAGAAGAATACTTTCATGATTGAAGTTCAAAAAAACAAAAACAAAAACAAAAACAAAACAAAACAAAAAAAAAACAAAAAAAAAAAAAACAAAAAATAAAACAAAAAATCGAAGTCTACATAAGAAAAACAACTATCTAGCCATTTGATTTTCATGATTGAGTTTGAATACTTTGAAATACACACATGTAACATGTAGAAAGCGAATGTCATGCATGATTTTTGTTTTTTTTGAAAGAATGTCATGCATGATTATGCATTACACATTTACATCATCTTATCCTTAACTGATTTTATATCGGAAGGAAAGGACATGTTTTGACTGAGATAAAAGCAATAGTCATATTTTAAAAATCAAAGCTGCCACCGAAAGAAAAAAGAGACAGAAGCTAATGCAGTTCAAGAAAAAAAGAACTGCAATACAAAAAATTATATTTATGTCACAAGCACCAAATATGTTCCAAGAAAAAAGTTGCAGCATTTTTTTTTTTTTCTGTAAATTATACTTTTTAAATAACTGATAATAAGTAAAGTCATCAGTCGATACCACCGAAGGATACATGCAACTGTAACAGAGGCCTTAAGAAACAAGTGCACACCTATACCAATTCGAGTTTATCCAATAATCCAGAAAAAAAAAATCGATTTTTGAATACTACTTTCACTTTTTAAAAATCGTAGCCCATGCACAAGAAGCAGTGGAGTTCATAATCCCTGTAATCATTTTAGTCTGAAAAACTGCCTAGAAAGATAATAGCAGAAGAGGGAGAATGAGAGAGAAAATATCCCTTACCTGTGCTACACGATCAATCTCTAACATCAACAGTCCTTTGCGTGTTTCAGGTACTTTAAGGAATAGAACCCTCTTGATTTCTTCAGCAATGCAAAAGAATATGCCAGAAAATCAGATATTAAAAAATTTGGCAATACTGAATGTTGTTGGAACCAAGGCAAGATCACAAAGACACTACTGATTCTGAAATTTGAACATGAGAAAAAATAATAATAAAATAAAAACTTACAAGTATAGCAGATAAACTTTTAAAAATCATAGAATCCAGTTTTCAAAAAAAAAAAAATCATAGAATCCATATTATATAGAAAAAAGGTGTCATGTATTACCCAACAAGTGTTTCAGGAAAGAGATACAATAATTGGTAAATAGGGTAAATGAAAGTAAAACATAAATATATGGTGGTTTAATATGGTATTTAATTAGGTAAATTAACTTGGTAAGTGATGCGTTTAGAATAATTGAGTATAATTAGGTAAATTAATTTCACAATTAATATATATTGACGGAACTTTAACGCTGTAAGGGCAGTTTTCTCATATAAAAATTGACAGTACAGTATTTTCAACAAGGGGTACTAATCTTTTTTTTGTTGTTGCATTCACTCCTATATTAGATATATATGTATATTACACATGGATGCACGCACATGGTGTGTGGCAACAACCTTTTCATTAATTATATTGATGCTTATACCCTATTCAAAGAGATGGTTTAAAGGGTTTTCATATGAAATGTAGATAAATAAAGATAAATGGTCAGGTCTGTACATTCAATTCCAACACCACACATGCTTAGAACACAGCAAGAAAACAAAAGAAAGTATAATTGCCATCTTCCTTTAAACAAAACAAGAACATATCCTATTGACGGTTTGTAGAGCCGAAAACTGGGCAGACAGGAGGAAAAGTTAACAGGAGAAAAGCCATTCATTAGAAAAGGGGAAAAAGCCTGCCATGTTAGTCATAAGTCATAACTGAACCTTATATCCACCCAAACCATACTAACTATAACATATTTTAAGCATGAAAATGAGCAGAGATGCTAGAAAGTACCAAGTAACTAAAATGAATAATAAATGAGATCAAATGAGACAAGTCATCAAGTAGCATACATATACTGCATGGCTTTGTGTGCATATAAAAAAGATTAGAATTATCAGCAATTAATTAATCAGCATCACATACCAGGTATAATAGCATATGTGAAACTGATTACTTGACTTGCCAAAGCCAGGTGCTTAGAAGTAATAGACTTTAAACCTGACACCTGCATAATTTAATTCAGTTAAATGCTTTAAGAATAAACAATATGGCATAATGCTAGTGAAAAATGTCCCAAATTGATTTTGAAAAACTAGAAATTTCTTAGTCTGTAAGTCAATTCCAATATCCTTATCAGGATCTAACTCTACTAATCTATTACTCTTGTATGCCAGAATAATTCAACAAGGAGCCTATTCTAACAAAAGCAGCTTGGCAAGGCTTAATTGAAGATTATTACAGCTAAATCTCCACAAAACATAGCATGCACACTACAAATCTCACTAAAACTGTTTTTTTCCCTTTCCATAAGAAGCTTGTGGTGTAGCATTTGTACTAGCAATTTGTGAAATCAATCTTAATTGGTGGTATACCATGAATTGGTACACCCAAAAACAAAAGTCCATGCATTCGAAGACTTCAAAACAAGTTGCTCCCTACAGACCAGGTATAATAAATAAGGCTCTTTGGCCTGTAGTCACAGCCCACTAACTTGGTTTTCATCCATTTCTAATATCTTATCTGAATGTCTGATACTTCAGTACTGCTAGCAGAAATGCTTACCATTTCAATCCCTACAGACCATAACTGGGGAGATTGGAAGAAAGAAGAGGGGAAGGTATAGTGTTTATGTACATGATTGTTCAATGAAAAAGGAACAAGATATAGGGATCAGTAGGCAAGAATCCAACACAACCAAAGTATTTAAAGAAGTTATCATTGTTTATTTATTACTTTATGGTCACTAAAAATACTTATCTCAGTAATGCAAAAATCACTATAGTAATTCATCAATCAATTATCCACTATAACTACCTGCATAGCTCCAGCACCAAGGACAAGTTGACAAGTCCTTGTGTTGAAAAATTTCAAGATCTCAACAACACGATGGACAACTTCTGAAGAAAGTCCAGACAAACTATTATTCATATCAATATACTCTGACAGCATCTTCACCAGAATCAAGCCACTGAAAAAGAAACAACTATTAGTTATCATTACTGAGTAATTGTAGTATAACTGAAGTAACAGACCAGAATGACCAATCGAGGGACTGCATCGGTCATAAAAATGGAAATGATAAAATATATCTAAAAGAATACACACACATATTTAATCAAGAGAGACCAGATATGTGATTGAGAAGGTGGAAAAAGCTAAAACTCACCTCTATACACAGACTCAGACACACATAAAGGGAGGAAAGGGTTGATCAGGAACTACTCACCAGTTAACCATGTGATATCCTGTTCCATTGAAATAAAGCATTCTAGGTGAAGCTTTTCCACGTTCCTTTGAGTTCGATTCGACAGTGTGTGCTGAATTACTTTCAGGATCTACATTACCACTCTCAGTTCTCCTTAAACCTGAGGAATTTCCTTGTGCTGCACTATCCAGATGCACTGCAACAGAATCATGCTGCTCCATATTTTGTGATGAATTTGAGAGTCCTGCATCCACAGGGGAACCTTCACTGCCTGGGGCTACAGGACCATTACTTGTAGCAGTCTCACTTGTAACCAAAGTTTCTTCACAAAAGAATGATGTGACAATGGTCTGAAACTCATCAGGCACATCAATCTCGGCCCAATTTTCCTGGTCAAGTATTGCCCTCATCTTTGCCATCTGATGTAATAAGCAAACAATTAGATCATAACAGGTCAAACCGTCAAAACATGGGAAAAACTTAGAGCTGGAAGGGAACTAACTCGAGACTCGTGTTGAAATTCTACAAAACCTTTGGCCTGTGACTGTAGTGTTCCTCGAATGCTATACCCCAACCTTCCACCTATCTGTATGTGTTGCATATCATAGCATCATAACCACTGGGATGTAAATTTAAAATCTCAAAATTTAAGTTTATGATTTAAAAGTATCAAACAGAATACCCTCTCAGTTGCAGTTATGAATTCCTGGGTTATGTTATATATGTTTAGAAACTCCTGCAATCTTAGTTTTGGATGAATTGGAGAACGGACTCCAAGAATCTTTGCCCATCTACCATGAGCAGCATCACAAGCAGCAAAAACAGCTTCTGTATTCTCTCTCAAAATATCAGCTCTGTCCAAAAGAAAAACACCTCAGATAATTATACATGCAGACCATGCCAACAAACTTTAAAAGCATATAGCCTATTTTACACATTTTAAACAGCAAAGGTGCTAGAAGTTGTAAGCTCCCTCCAGAATTCAAATCTGTAAGAAATCTCAACATCTAGACTATTTTGCTTCTGAATTCTTAGGAAAGATGAGAAGGGAGCGATATTCCAGCTCTTAGACTGAATTAATGATCAGAATATTTTTAAAATAAAACCTTAAAAGATCCCTAATAAAGCTAAATCCACACCCTCCTCATAATTCATACCTACAACAGCTCAGCAAAGGACAGAACCCAACCAGAATTAAAATGCTAACTAGGGTTAACAGCTATACAAAGTCTTCAAGACCCACATACATAAGAAAGCCATGCAGTACATAGTTGCCTTCAGAGATAAGAGCAACTTTTCTTCTAGTCAAAGTTGCAAATGAGCAAGTAGAGCGCACAACTACACTAAAGAGGGTGGGAAACTGACTGAAATTGCAAGAAAACATCAGCTACCTTCCATTTTTTGGTATGGGCAAACTGGAAGTCATTTTGTTAATTACAAGAATGCTTTACCAGATAAGCATTTCACAAGTTTCAGAACCACCCACGAAGCAAAACCTTAAAAAGGTCCAAGACTGAAAAGGCAACTCAATACTCACCATCTCACAAACCAAACCAGTTTCAGTCTTTCAAGGTGGCAGAAACTCAAAAGAGTTAAAGCAGATAAAGGACAGTTCTCACCACACATTGCAAAGCTATTAGAAAGCACTATCTCAGGAGGCCCTGGCATAGAAGGGCTATCTCTTTTATGCAACAAACATACAAGGCATTGCACTAAGAAATATGGCAAGCTCTATAAATATCTAATAATGTGGAAACAAATATCCATAAACTATGAAGTGTTTGAAAGGAAATAGTTGCTAAACACTATCACAGAATGCATCAAGAACTTTACTCCTTTATTATTATTGGTTCCTAATTTAGACAAAAGATCATCTTTAGTAATAACAGAAGTAACAGAAGTAACCTGAAATTTCTTGACAAATTTGATGCTGTTGACGCCTCACTACCTTTTCCTTGGGTTGAAGAAACTTTGTTACTGCTTCTTTGAGTAGAATATGGTAGAAAGGAACTAACTTGACTATCTGTTTCATGAGCTGTTTCTGCAGCAGCTGCCCCAAGTGCAATTGCAGCAGCCACTGAATCAGCAGCATAATGGCCATCAACATGGCATATAATCCACTCAATTGCTTTTTTAACTTCAGAAGCCCGTGCCAAGTGGGCCTGCATTCACTAAAAGATAAGAATCAAGTTACATCATACCAGATAGGAATAGACAGACAATAAAATAAGCAAATAAGGTCCAGCACAGTAGTCTAAAATGCAAAAACTTATCCAACAAAGTAAAGTAGATTGATGAAGACGTCACTGGAACAACTTCATGAGTCCACAACAAATAAGATAGCAAACACTAATGTTAATCGCAACAAATAAGACAATCATAACTGCGGTTTCTCAAGGCTATTCTAGCCAAAACCTGAACATCAAATGGCATCATCTACTTATGTTTTTTTTCTGGAAAATATAATGCAAAACCACGGAAAAACAAGAAGTGGTTTAGAACTAGCGGCTGTTCTTTCAAGAAGCTACTGCAACCCATCAAAGCTAACAGATGAAGATATTAGTCCACAGAGATTAATCCCTTAGAACAACTCAGCAGCAATCATCCAATAGGAGCAAAACACAATCTATGCTCTTTGATTTCAATTTCAAAATCATCAAACATCTCCAAGAATGCCTTCAGCACAACCTTCTTCTATTCATATAGTCAGGAATGAGAAAGCAAGAGTTGGAACAAATATGGGCAATTGAAGAAAAGAAAAACAAAAACTAGGTAATAAATGTTATTTTACAGAAAATGAGAAATAAACTGTAAAAAAATGTCTAAGTAAATGCTGTATCCAATTCTATCTATTTCTAAATTGTGTAATAAAATTAGCCTTGAAAATAGTCATTAGATCTTCTTTCACCAACAGAGTACAAACTAGACCATACTCAGAAAGTGATGCAGGATATAAAACACACACACACACACACACACACAAAAGAAAAAAAAAAAAAAAAAAAGAGGAAAGGGAGGATAGCCTCAAAATCACCCCAAACATTCTGCAGGGTAGGAGAATCAAAATAAACACCCCGCCCACCATAGCCATTCTAACTGATAAAAACTAATAATCCAGGGGGTGGGGGGGGAACCCCAGCCAAGATGGCTAAGGACACAAACTTGTAACCACAAGGTCACGAGTTCGAATCCCAGCCCTCTTAGTTTGAGCCAGTTAGCTATGGGCAACCTAGGCTGGTTTACCTCCTTGTGGCCCTTTGCCAGCTAGGGTCACAAGGTGGGATTTACCCCGTGCACACCCTCGGGTAGTGGCTGCGGGTTTCCCACGTCACTAAAAAGAAAAACTAATAATCAGTATGTTTGTGGTCTCTGCATCTAGTTTCTGCTTTGAAAACCATACCAAATACATTTGCTCATCCAGGGATAAATTTATTTTGACCAGATATAAGTATCCAGGAGCATTATCAAACAATGATTTATCAGGCATGACTAATAACCATTATCAACAATACTAAAGGACCACAACAAATAGCAGCCATGGGAGGATGATGAAAAGTGGTCCAAGTATACATTACCTGCACTATCATGAAAACAGCTTTCAAAAGTTGAACAAAACTTTCAGGAGACAGGCTTCTCAGCCTGCTTGCAAGCGATGAGCCTCCACCTGAGCCAGCATACAAGTCAGATTATGAACTAAAGGATCACTACTTTTAATGAACACAAGAGTTCCACCCCCCACCCCCCCCCCCCCCAAAACCCCAAAAAACCACATCATTATGTTAAGGTGAGATGGAATCCTAAGCATATTTTCAGAAAGGATAATATGTATACTTTTCTTTTCCAGGGAAAGAACAGCCTTGATGTGGCAGGGGATAAGGTGTGTACTGTGAAAGTTCCCTTCTATTAACAGTTAAACTATGTCTAGTAGAGGCAGTAGCTAAGGAAATAGAAAATGTTCACCCACCATCTGCATCCACTGCTCGCTCTCCCGTGACAAAATCAGAATCCAGAGGTTGGGCACCAAGAACTGGAAGCAGCTCTTCAACTGATATCTTAATAGCAGTTTTCATATCAGCTGTGAGAGTATCGCGGTACATCCTCAACACAGCAGGGAGCTTTGCCTGAAAAATAGATAGGAGATCATTACATCACATAACATCCCTTGGCAACATATGCAACTGAACTCAAATTTTAAAATGTCAAAATTAGAAATGAAACTAAGTAATGGAGAAAAAACAAAAACGAAAACAAAAAAATAAGTGGCATTTTGATTCATCCACTTGCAAATTAGAAGCCATGCAAACAAAAGACAAATGGATAGGAAGGTTTTCGTTGGGTTTCCATGGGGTGGATAGGATGTGGTGGTGGTGCTTAACCCAGGAATTTATTTTTTCTCCTTGGTGATAGACTTTAATAGCCTTTTTTTTCACTTATGTTCCCTATCCAAACAGGCTAACTACTGCAAACAATCTAATAGTTAACTTTTTGAACTGTTATTTATCTTGTTATAGGTAGTTACTTTTACTATTGGTTCTTTGGGACTTTTCTTCACAATGCTTTCTGGAGATCTTACCTTTTGTCCTCCTGAAATCTATAGCTGCCAACAAACAATTTGACTTTTTTGGACACAGGACATTTAATCCAATATTAGCGAACAGGTTGAAAAATAACCATTAAGGTTGTGTGAGTCCAATTAGACACAGCACATTTTGTCAAATATTGGCAAAGAGTTGCTGCAGTGAAAATCACAGCAAGCCATGATTTTAATAGTCAACCCATGAGCACTCAGCAACTACAAATACCAACTCTCATCAAAATATAATTACAAACCCTTACTTCTCAATCAAAATCCACTTTCTATCTCACATCATAACAGATTTATCAATTATTGCTCATAAGAAATCCTTCTCACAACAATCTTGCACAAATACTCTTGAGGAATTACATTTCTTTCTGCTAACAGCATCATCAGGATCAAGGAGAGAGTAAGCACAGATATGCCATGCATATTTTAATTTTAGTAATCAAAGTAATCATTAGCTACTGTACACTTGAGAAACAGTGATCAAACATGTTACTCACAGTTCTAAGCAATCCAATAACAAGAGGAAGGAGTAGATCTCGAAAATTGGAACTTTCTTCTTCATCCAATCTAACCTACAATACACCAAGAGCAGTTTTTAGAATGATATGATCCCTTCCAAACTAAGGAATGCATAGATTGAATCACCAGAAAACAATTTATGTAAGATGAAAGTATGAGTAGACAAGTGAAGCTATAATGAAATAAAAGCTCTGTGTGGACTATATTTTTAGGATATGGATTACAGGAAGGTAGATTTAAAGAAGAGATCCATTATTAATTTTTCTTTTGGTAAATCAAACATTTATGACAACAAAAAGGTTTCCATTGGAGGCATACTCAATGGCTGAATTTTATGGGCTACTGCAAGTAAAACTACTAAAATACATGACTAAAATGGCACAATTAAAAAAATATTTGGACCTGATCAGAGTAAGAGGCTGCAAAAGGGGGCAAAGGAGTAAGGGAGGAAGACACTAACCTTTTGCTATGATGTATTCTAGAGGTATATCAGATTATCAGTATGTCATAATTTAATTCATGAATCAACTTGAAATGCTCCTTTAGCAGATGATTATTACAGAGGGACAAGCTCAAAAAATCCAATTTATACAGTGGAGAAATTATGGTTGATGCTTAAAAGATGGATAGTCAATTCTTTAGCATTAATGACCTTCAAAATCATTGATCCTTTTTAACTTGAAAACATGGGCCTAGGCCAATCAACAAAACAATAAATTTTAATCAAAATAAAGGTACTGTATATGATAAGTGCATCCTATAAGCAAGATGCACGTAGAATCACACTTACTTCATTTCCTTCTCCATTCATAGCTATAGTTGCTCGAGCTTTAAATTTTGATGTTATTGATGCATCTGTATCTCCAGTGTCGTGTATAGAAGTCCGCATAAATTCTGCTGAAAGAATGCTACAATACTGAATTTGATAAGTCATGACACCAAGGTATATGAAATCTTTAAATTCTCTTTCATATGTGGATAAGATGTATTCCTTGCATGTGAAGTTTTTTTTTTTTTGTTTTGGTTAAAAATAACATGATGAAGCATCTTAGACAGAATGCTTATGTCAAAGAAAGAAATATTTCATATTTGTGATCAAAAACATAATTTCAGAAAGCACTGGTAAAATTCACAAATGGCTATACGTAAGGATATGACCATATAAGAAGAGAGAAGTATCAAAGTTGTCAGGCATAACCCACAACAAAATGGTCAACAAGTGAGCTCTTCTTTAGAGTGTTGATTGATATCATCTTACAGAAAGAAAGAAAGAAATATATATATATATATATATATATATATATATATATATATATAAGTGAGCTCTTCTTTAGAGTGTTGATTGACACACTGACACCTTACACCCATTACAAACAAAGATGTACATCTCTGGACTCGGGAGATGATCACACATTCTAAGGCTTTGGCATGTCTTGATAAATAAATGAAGAAAAAAGTATAAGCCTTAAAGACCTTGACAGCTTGACAGCTAAGGCTTTGGCATGTCTGGACCTGGAATGATCACACATTCTAAGGCTTTGGCATGTCTTGATAAATAAATGAAGAAAAAAGTATAAGCCTTAATCATTAGCAAAACTAATTCCAGAAATCTATAGACATGTTTTCAAATTAAAAGGGTGCCCAGCCACTAAAGCATATGCTTTGCACACTGAGAATTACTTTAAATAATTAGGGCAGCATTAACCTTGACATGTTTTCAAAAAAATTTGGAGCATACCAGAGTAGATAAGCACTTGAGCTCACTAATCAAACAATTACTTCATCATCACTAATTCACTATTCATTTAATTTGAAAACATAAAAAGATCAATAACAGACGAACCTATTAATGGACTCAATCGAAGCAGCCAATTGATCACGAAGGTGACGGAAGCAGTGTAGACCAGCTAATTCATCCTCATCCTATCAAACAGGAAATGACAACTTGGCAATCAATTAAATTACTACATAAAAAAATGCAACTAAATTTTTCTGAGCATAATCCCAACCATATAAATGCAACTAAACTTTTCAGAGCATAACCCCAACCTAAGAAATCAACATCCAATATATTATAACAATAACAACAACAATAATAATAGCCAAGAAGATCCCTAAATTAACCAAATCATTAACCAATTACGAATGTACAAAAATGAAAAGTAAACATAAACAAAGACATTTGATTAACTGCAAATATACCAATAAATGCTGCAAATCATCTGTTACATCTAAAGCTCCAGCACAATCGGCAGACGCAACAAGCTGTGTGAAAGTGAGAATATAGAGTTAGCATGATGAGAAGCATCCAAAGCTTTGCTGGTTAAATAAGTCAGTCAACAATACACATTTCAAAATGCAAACAACAAAAAATACATGCATAAAAATAATTTAATCAACGGGTTGCCGAAATGGTAAATGCGTAAATCACATGGCTGCATTCAAGTCATTATCAACAAGGACAGTGATTCTTTCAAGAATAATACATTCAGTTCCAAATTCCAATCCTGCTACTTTGATGATTTGAATTGTTAAAATTCAGAGTTCCAAAAGTAAAGGGAGAATATTTTCTTTTTATTATTTTTATCTCTGGTCAAATTATTAGGTAGGTCATGGCATAGCTAGGCACACTGTGTCAATGATGTAAATGATAATACACAAACATTCAAATGGAAATACAAGAATGTTCATATGGTAATCTGAACATTTTGCTTATGGAATTTAATTATATTCATAACCCAAGCATAAATGGGTTACCTCTTAAACATTATTATATTACTACCTAAACATCATTGACACGACGCATCTAACTAGGTAGGCAATGGCCTACAAGTAAAACTATTATTTTCTTTGGGGGTCACCGAGTCTCAGAAGCTTGATAACAAAGCAAGATATATTCCACAAAAATGTCTATAAACAAGATATTGATTTATTTTATAATAGAAACATCCAGGTACAATATACACATCAACAAGACACACTCTTATGACAGCCATGATAGAATAATCATAAAGCGTAGAAATATATGACAACGAAAAAATTATATGAATTAATTACAAAAGGAAATTCAAAACCAGGCTAACTTTATTCAAATGCCATATCATTATCAATATTTATGAACACAGGAAGACCATGTGCGTGTACTGATAGCAACTGATCCTATAGTCTTAACACCAAATGAGCCTTTTTTTAAATAATGAATTTATTAAAAAACAATACCAAGTTATTGATGGTTATAAACTAATTATAGAAGTCAGATGCATAGAGCTCCTGAATTCCATAAGCCCCTTTAAACCACCTACAGCCATTTGATTACACCAAAAGAGAAAAGAACACAGGACATTTATCTTTTACCCTCCTATCTACAGGGGTAACCAAGCTCTCAAAACATTTTGGGTTTCTTTCCTCACATAAGATTCATGGAATTGTGTCCATGACTTTCTAAAAAATTCTCATGACTTTGCACGCTCTCCAAACAGCCAAAAGACCTTTTTGCAGATTTACCATCAACTATTCCATTCTTAAGAGAAGAGCATGCTCTTGATCACCCATATCATAATTTTACTCTTGCAAGGGTTACAGACACATCAGTTTATAAAGTCCGTCTCACCCATAACAAAGCAATTAGAGGTAATATCTACAGAACAGAAAGCACGAATGAAAATTAGCCCAAAGCTATAAAAAAATTGCAAAGATAAGTTGGCTAAGTACATTTGCAAAGGGTAGCTAGAGTGCTAGACACACATTTCAACACAAAAGTTGGGCAGAAAATACTCAACATGCAAAATACTCCATATAAGATAAATGCCTAGGTAAGACTGCAGAGAAGTATCAGAAAGATAGATTAATGAATTTACTGATGTAGTAGTAGCTGATCATACAAGTCCATGAAAAGTTATTGGCTAATCAGTCTCCATCAGTTAATAAATCTCAAAGACTCAAAGTGTGTTTCTTCCTTTAATTCTATAACCACCACATTACAATGAGTGGGATGAAACCCCTCAAGAATGTTTCTTCTTTGAATTTACAAGCTCTCCATGGAAATGAAACCTCCCTCAACATTGGTATTATTTCAGTCATACAGCCTTGTTGCACAAAAAAAAAACCCACACATCTTTGTTTAGTTTCAATCTCCTCCATTTCATGATCTCCCTACATGTGAGTTATGACTTTAGTTAAACATGCTCTTATAGAGAAAACTCTACCAAGATCCTTAGTGAGTCCATTTTGTTATTCAGCATTCCAACTGTCTTCAATTTAGAAGTTCTGCTTGGTATCTTTCTTCATTTTCTCTAGTAATATAATAAGTAACTCTTTTCTAGCTAAACAATGGTATCAATAATCAGTTTCTAGCTGAAGATTAGAATACAGCTATTCTCTTGCAAAATATTTCAAATTTAGCAAAATAGTGAAAATCTCCACTTTTTAACAAGCTGCTGGAAACTTTGGTTCTTCATTGTCCATGTTTTTCTTTGTCTTCTCTTTAATAGAATAACCCTATTAGCATTTCTCGCACTAGATATCCAAATTCACAATGTTGGGTTTTTGTCAAGGAAAACTCCTAAATAATTTTAACTCCCAAAATTATAACAACAATATTATGGGTGCACAATTGTATAACAAACTAAAACAATTGGTCTCTTAAACTTGAGATAACTGTTTAATGTTCTTAAATGCTTCAATCCTAGAAATTGCACCTTTTAGATAGTCCATCTCTCAGCTAATGCAAACTAAAATGTTTGGTAGCTAATCCATCTCTCTGCTTCAATTAAATAATGTTTGATCTTGTCATATGATAATTCTTTGAGTGTTTTTTTTTTTCTATTCAGTTTACCTTCATGTGATCCTAATCATGAATCACAAATGTCTATTATGGAAATATCCAAGCACATATATGGAGCAAAGTCTGACAGAAATACAAAATGCAGCTTCATTTATTCTCCAGAAATTTAGAACATACCAACTTAAGAGTTGAAAGAGCTTGATTAACATATAGAATCAGCCTCAACTTGTTCTGCAAAGCAATCAAATCCCCCCTCTGCTCATTCAAGTCGTGGACCTTTCTAGCAGACCCCACCAAATTTGCATCCAGCAACCTTATGGACTCCTTCAGTTCTCGTATTCTATTACACCCTTCAACGATCTTACCATTGAGGTCCTCCAGTTGACCCTGAGCCTCGAAAAAGGAGCTTGAGCGCAAGGAAATCTCCCGCACCAAGTGTAGTTCCACTACATCCAAATACTGCGAGAGCTTCTCTTGCAGCACCAAATTCTCGGTCGTGGTTCGGAAGGGGCACGCAGCCTTGAACGTGGCACCCTCTTCCAATTGAAAATCCTCCTTGAAGTAGAGCGCGGGCACTTCCCGGAGGCACGCGACGAGCGCATTCTCCCCGTTCTGGCCTTCAAGGGACTCAAACTTAGTGTGCTGTTGGATGTCATGGAAACGGGCATACGGTTCGGAGATAGAGGACAAGTATGTGACGAAATCGGGTCGGACGAGATCAGATCCGGGCTTGGGCGGAGGCGGAAGAGCGGCGAATTCGGGGACGGGGACAGACGCCGAGGCGGACCACCACCAGGTGTCAGATTTTCCAGCATGCGGATTATTGAGAATGGAAGCTAAGCTCTGGCTATGGCTGTTGGATTCGGAGTTGGATCGCGAAACCTTAGTGTTGAAACTCTCTTGAGCTTCGAACCTTCCCGACGACAGGGAAGGCTGTGATTCCATTTTCTCCGTCAAGATCTAAATACCATAGACGCGCATCAACAACAACACGAGACGAAGAATTTGCACATGCATACACAGAGTGAGTGATCTGAATCGCGGAGGATTGGATCTGAATGTGATCGAAAATGAGCAGTGGCAGCGATGGAGGAGTTAGAGAGAGAGAGAATGTGGTGACTGTTCGTTCAGCGGTGAGGTGAATCTTGGTGTGGTGTCGACCCTGCAAACCCCAAAAAGGAAAGCGGAAGAGAAAAGGGGTCCAAAATGAGAATTCGGAAAGTTATGGGGAAGGACATGGCGGTTTTTAGATTTTGGGACCCGCCATTTTTGTTTATCCAGATGTGTCATTTTCTTTTACGGAGTATTATTTTTCTTTAATAACATTTTGGTAAAAATTAAAATTAATCACCAATAGTTTGATGGTAATAACCAACTTGATTGACGTAGTGGTTCAGCACTTCATCCTTTAATGGAATAAATTATTTGGTCAATTTTCTATTACTTACAGCCCGTTTGGTTCCCTGAAAAATATTTGAAGGGTAATGGAATTCAAATTCCATAGAAAACAAATTACCAGAAAAATAGATTCCATTGTTTGGTTAGTGGAAAAGAAATTACTGGAAATATAAATTCTATTGTTTGGTTGGGTTTGGAATAGTAAGGAATTATGAATATAAAGACCAATATGCCCTTAACAATAATTTATACATGTGTAGTTAATAAATTTTGATGATGGCAAAATAGTATAATAGTACTATATTTTCTTCCCAACTCATTTGGAAAACAAAATACCAATGTTTAGGTAGGATTTTCTTTTCCTTCACCTTTGGGAAGTCAAATTCTCATGGAAAAGATTTTCCATCCAACCAAACAAGGTAAAACAACATTTTCCTACATTTCATGGAAAATCTTTTCCATGGAATTTGATTTCCATCCAACCAAACACCCCCTTAGTGTGCTGACGGAGGACGAGGGATTAGTCTTCTGGCTATCGGATGGAGGGATACCTTTGAACAACTAAAAAAAAATAGTTTGATGGTAAAGAACCATAATCTATAGGCACCACTTTTAGGTGGGACAACTGCCCTGGAGATATAAGGTTGCTCCATACCCAAATCTAAGAATTCAACTCTTCACTTTAGTTAAATGAATCCCTTTCACTCAATTTTTTTTTTTTTTTTTGGAATAAGGGTCAAATAGGCCATTGAACTAGACACTAAAATACAATTAGGCCATCCAACTCAAAAAAACTACAATTAGGTCCTTGAACATGACAAATTAAAACAATTGAACCCAAAGTGACCTATTGACCTGGTAATTAGATGACATGGCTGTAAACAAATTAATTTTTTGAAAAATAAATATTTTAATTATTTTAAATTTAAAGAAAGAAAGAAAGAAAAAAATCTCTGGCCACCCCTTCCCCCTCCTTTGTGGACCTGTTTTCGTCTCCGAAGAGCCACGAAGACCATTTAGAATTCTTTCAAGCTGAAGTAGTACCGTGACTACTATGCCTCCTTGATTCCATTACTCAAACCCAAAGCTTCATGGGAAAATGGTCTTTGATCAGAACAAAGCTCTCAGCTCTTCAGACTCACCTCTCTGATCTCTCCTCCGCCGCCAATGACAACCCTCTCTCGGCGGACCTTCTCCGGTCACTCTCCGCCACCATTTCCGACGGGCTGTCTCTTCAGTTCGCTGCCACAACCCCAACCCTCCCCGATGGGAAGCTCAAGACGCAGAACAACATCTACTCCTTGCTCGCAAAAATCGATAGCCTTAGCAGGGACCTCGAGGTTCTTATCAAGAGCGGCGTTCTCTGCGAAAACGGCGTCGTTTGGTCGAGTAGTTATTCGAAGAGGGAGTCGTTTAGGTGGTCGTCAGCCTACTCGATTCCACTTCTTCGCCGGTGATTAAGGAGAAAACCGTCACCGGCAAAAATTTCTACCGTCGACTCGAGCAAGCTGTTATTTCATCTTCTTTTTTTTTTTTTGAAGTTTTTTATTTAAAAAATTATTAAAATAATTTTTAACCTCCATGTCATCTAATTACCTGGTCAACAAGTCACTTTGGGTTCAATTGCTTTAATTTGTCATGTTCAAGGACCTAATTGTAGCATTTTTGAGTTGGATGGCCAAATTACATTTTAGTGTGTAGTTCAATGGCCTATTTGACCCTTATTCCTTTTTTTTTTTAGTACAATTGTTAACTATTATTTTCATTTTATATATGTTAAGAACTCAAGTCCTTTTTGCTTAAAGCAACTCTTTTTTTAAATACTTTTTATGTGATTGACCATATGAAATGCAACCAAATATAACATTTTTTTATGTATCATGTGTTGTCAACCATTTTTGCTTTACCTCATTACTCAATTTAGTATCGATAATAGTGTTTTTTTCTCAATTTAGTCATAATTGAGCTTTTGAGCTTAATTAGGTCCTTTACTTTGATGTTTTTACTCAATTAAGTCCTCAATTGTTATAATGAAGAATTATATTGAGAAAAATTATTATAGTCAATGACTAAATTAGATAAAATCACTATAATTGAATACTAATTTGGAAAAAATTATTATAGTCGAGGACTAAATTATGTATTAATAGATGTGAAATTACCAAGCTATCTTAGCATAGGACTCAATTGAATAAAATCATCAAAGTCGATGACTTAATTAAGCACAAAAAGTTATTTATAACTAAATTGAGAAAAATTACTATAGTCAATAACTAAATTGGGTATTTACTTGTTTACCTCATCGATTATTTGTGTATACAAGACAAACCACGTCATGTATGATAGGATAAATCTAGTATAATAATCATGTTATATTTACTCAACCACCAACGACATACCTTCTTTGTTATACATGATATTGTCACCACCAAATAAAACAAATATTTAATTTTATATTAGTTAATTAGTAAAAATTTATATTTAAAACGAGAAATCATACAACCTCAATTAATTATGACTTTTAAATATGATTCTTCACTTTTTATGTAAATAACTATGATCCCTTACCAAAAATAAATAAATAAACAAATAAATAAAAATGAAAGTAAAAATAAAAAACCATGATCCCTTCATTTTGACTTAAGTTGTTCATTTAGTTTATATATGTAACAGAACTAAGATATAAGATATTTGCTCAAAGTAGGGTTGGCAATACATATTATGACATTATTGTTGGCGGTACCAATAGCCTAGTTTAAGTTGACTAGTGGTTGGTAAAGAGACTTAACATCTAATAATATTATAATATAGTTGCCTACAAAATAATTAGCAATATGAATGACAATATATACTACTACACAGTTACTAACGACTTTCAGTAACCTAACCCGACATTGTTAATAGTTGGTAACGGCCAACTCAAACCCAATTATAATTGCCTACTGACTCATAGTAAGGTTAGTAGTACAAATTACCCTAACCTAGTCTCTTTGATGACTATTTTAGTTTTTTTAATCATATATAACAATAGGTATGTTTGTTTGTTATGCACCTATGCTTTAGCTTTTGGTTTCATGAGCTTCTTCATACTACTATATTGGCTCACTTAGGTTACTTTGGTACAATTGGGTGATTTCTCATCTCTCATTGCTTGAAGGTCAAATGACACTCATTCTCTTGGTGTCTCTCACCCTTACAACATAAACGTAGTTGATGTTTGAAATATTTGAATTATTATTTCATTTATTTTTGTTTTATATTGGTGTTGTAATTTAATAGATGTAGCACTATACCTGTAGTTTTCTATTATAACCTCACGTCTTTGTCTATAACCAATTTGATAGATATATAATTAGTGTACTTTTGGATAATACATGATTTTGATTTAATCATGGGTTAAAATTGCACTAATTCATATTATTTGGCTTTATTTTGTGAATAAAAAAATGTTGCGGTGAGAATACACAAAAATGGGAGAAACGTTGGGTATTTATGAAGAATTTAAAGTTGGCTTTGAAGAGATGGAAGACTTGGACTCATAATGGAACATTTTGTACCGCGTTGGCATATGGAAGAAGCTGATAAAAACAAATGAAGAAAACATAATGACTCATATTATACCGTGTGGTCACGTCATACATCTTAGTTTAACAATTCAATTCTCAAATTTCAGTTTCAACCACATCCGTTTCAAATGACAATGGTCTCCTTATTTCTTGCATGAATCTGGACACTTTTTGAGGAAGATTAGCTTGGGGGATATGGATTTTTTATTATCTTGATCATTTTTTAAAATCATTAGAGACTTTTACTAGTTTCTTTCCATATATAGGCTTTTGAATTTCTTTCTTTTTCCATCGAACTTTCTTTAGAATAATTTTTTTTTAGTAGAGTTTTTTCCACTTTTGGTCCCTCGACTTCACTTGTGGTGACAAATGGGATTCACGACTTTTATTCCGGACATAATAGGTGCTCAACTTTAATTTTTTTTCCACATTTGGTCCCATCCGACCAAGAACCCGGCCAACCCACCGGAATTAGACTCAACCCTTGTTATGTTAAGGATATTCTAGTCATTTCTAACCCATGTTTAAAATAATTAAATATAAAATTTATTCTGTATATACACCTCATTCTCGCCTATCTCTGTTAAAATCGAAGGTGTGCGAAGAAGGAAGATATTTCTTCGCACGGTGAGGTATTATTTTCACCAGCTCGTCTTCGCCCTCCACTTCTGCCACTAGAACGGCGTCACCCACCGTGACATCAAGCCCCAGAACCTCCTCCTCGACAAGGACGGCAAGCTCAAGATCTCCGATTTCGACCTCTCCGCGCTACCGGAGCAGATCCAGAACGGCCTCCTCCACACCGCGTGCGGTACTCCGGCCTACACCGCCCCGGAGGTGATGATCAGGAAAGGCTACAACGGCGCCAAGGCCGACGCGTGGTCTTGCGGCGTCATCCTCTTCGCCTTCCTCGCAGGGTACCTCCCATTCGACGACAGCAATATATCAAACATGTACCGTGCAATACGAAGCCGCGCGTTTCAGTTCCCGGATTGGATCACAAAGCCCACCCGGAGCATAATTTTCCGGCTGCTCGATCCCAATCCGGTAACCAGAATGTCCATCGAGGAACTGATGAAGCTCCTGTGGTTCAAGAAGTCATCATCAGTGATAGATTTGACAGACGAACATCAATTCGGGAACCAAGAGTTCGACAAAGATTGCAAACACTTAACCAAAATGAACGCATTCGATATCATTTCAATGTCTCCCGGGTTGG